TCAAAGTAGGCATGAATCGGAAGTTGTCACCGGTTGCTCCAGAAGTCGTCCACGAAGTCACCTGGGACGAAGTTGAGGGAGCAATCATAATCATTACAGTAATAAGTATCCAGACGAAGCAGATATAAGTCTCGAACACCTCAAGGCCGGAGGAACAATCCTGCTTAAAGCGCTTGGCATGCGACACCTAAAGCGCGGAACACACTAAGAACGATTCCACTCATGAATAAAAACTGAGGAACTGTCGACCAATTACAGTTGTGTCTGAAATCTGCAAAGCCTTCCCCTCGCATCATTCTGAGCCGCATTCTGAGGAACCTCGAACTGGTTGCAAGTCGGGAAGAGGTCGGTTTTGCATCGTCGACAATATAGATGTCAGTCAGCAGCTGAAGAAGAAGTGCAACGAATACCATGTGCCCCTTTATTTTGATTTCATTGACTGCGAAAAGGCGTTCCATTCGATAGAACTGACGGCTGCATTAAACGCCTTCCATGAACGCAGCAGGATCATGTGTGCATCGACTTGATTGCAGGTTTGAACACCAGTGGTACGACTGAAATCAACCAACCATGTCTCATCAGTATCCATCTAGGAGTACACCAAAGATGATACCATCTTGCCAGCGCTGTTGTAGAGTCATTCATCATGCAACGCAACTAGTTTATTGGCATCAATATTTATGAAGAGCAGCCAGCTCACATGCTCTTTGTGGAGACAGCATGGTCTTCGCAGAAGACCTAGAAGTTGCACAAAGAATCTCGTACCATCAGTTTGGGGGGAGGATTAATTTGGAAACCTCTTCAAGGCAAAATGAATGCGAAACGAGCAATGTTCCGAAGGCTCTTCCCAAATCGCGAAGAACTCGAAGAAGTGACCAACCATGCATACGTGAACCGGCTGTAACCTTTGCGAAAATCAGCCAAGAAACGAAGGTGCGTGGGTTAACTTTAATCATATTAAAGCCTCATTATTCAACAGTATGCTGTCAATGAGGGCGAAGATACAACTCTTCCACACTGAACCATCCTTTTAGACATGATCTACAGCGCTGAACGTTGGTCTGCTACTGAAGTTGAGGAGGAAAAACTTGATAGCCGTGCAAAGAGAGATGAAACGAAAATTGTGCAAGACTGCACTGCGGGATCAGATTCTTAGATTGCAAATTCGACAACGGACTGGATTAACATAACGTATTTTCTGCCTTCTCCAACACCGAGCGAAAATGAGGAAGTCATGCGGCTCGCCCGAGAAATAACCGATGAACATGAAGGGTCACAAGCTGCGTTCCGCCGGACCTTTAAAGTCGAGTCGGTGGTCGCAGAACACGATGAGACCATTCAATTGTCAAATAAACTTTTTGGTCAGTGGTAGAGGCAGAAATCGCAACACTAGGAATGCTGATTGAGCGTGCATTTTATGGTTCGTGCTGCATATACGACGAGGACAAGTCGGAGAGCGGATGCTGGAAGGCCAAACCCTTGTATCATACGGTTCAAAAGAGGAGCTTTTGAGCTTTTGCAAGAAGTCAGAAACAGTAGGATTCCCTGACGTGATGACACCGCCTATCAAATTTGCTATGCATATATTCCCAAAACAATATAATGATCTAGCGCATGGTAGACTGATACCGGTTTGCCTCATTGGCATAAACGACAATATTAGTCTATCACCTGACCTATGAATGAATGTTTTTCTTCTTTCGTGCTGTTTTTCAGACGAAGACCGTTGCGAGTCTTTCATATATTTGTAGCCCTCGACCACTGGTTGATCGTAATTAAATTTGTCATGCAAGTTTATTGTTAAATAAAAATGTATGTTCTTAGACGTTTCGATTAATGCTCTTTCCGTCTTCAGAGAGAGATAATACAAAGTAAAGAATGTTATTGTATAAATTACACAAAAACCGGTAGCACCTCTGCTGGTGGCTGAAAGTTTTAGCTTCTAGGAACCTTTTTTACTAGAAGTTGATTCATAGTTTCGTTCCAATGCAACCCATAATTATATATGTATTACATTAGCTGATTACCAGTAACACGTTAGAATAATAGTTTAAAGTTTCTGAAATGATATGTCTCTTGCCTGAGCTGCATTTACATCAGACTGTACGTCAATACAGATCGAAGCATACACTACGTCATTGGACTTATGACTAATTCAAATTAGGTTGAACTTAAATCAAAATTTTAAGGCGTTCTTTCGGCCACCGATTCCGGTTGAGTCGACGATGCTTGTGGATGTACAGAATGTGGGCCTCATCGAATGCTTCACTTATGCAGGATGCGTGTTGTAGCAGCATCCACTGGCCAAGCGACAGTGTGCTCATCAATCATTACAGTATTGTGTAACTCCACAACTCGCCAGCAATATAATTACTACGCTCCAGCAGTATTGCTATTGCTTTCACATTGTTCAGAACCATTTATTTATGTTGACGAGTGGGGCAGCGGTTCAGAGAAAATCATTCCCTTCTCCAGCTAGCGGTGCTGATGACAGCGTCATGAGAGGTCGACTTCGAACTTCAGAGGTTTCGGGTTTTGAAATATGAAAAGAAATTTCTTAACAGCAAGGAATTGAACCCTCGTTACTTCGGCGCCACCAGCCCAGTGACGGGTTGCAAGTCACTGACCTGCAAATCACGGGCACAGCTTGGCGTTGCAGTGCGGTGATGCTAGAATGGCCGTGTTGTGGCAGTGCGGTGATGCTAGAATGGCCGTGATGCGACAGATTGTTGCGGCTGCAATTCGCCTTGACTACCTCATAGCTAATAGCTGACTGTGCCGCAAAATCCGCTCAAGGTTAAACGTTATTGTTGTTGGTTTGAATCTGGCGACGTAACTTTTTCAGTGACTGCTGATTCTCTTCAGCACGGAATTCATCACTGCCCCCCCCCGCTAAGCTTCGATCGGTTTTTCCATGAAGCGAGTATCAGAACGATGTCCGGTGGAGAAGTGGGACAGCATCCGAAGTGACGTGGTCATCCCGGAAACAGAACTTATAAAACTTATAGCTACATAGTTTGTCATGCGCGTTTTACGGCTGCAATGCGCATTGACTCATTTGATTGCTGATTTGACTAGCACGATGACCCGCACACAAATAAAATAATGTCATATAATATGTAATAAATAATTATAGCTATGACTGCAAGATACGATGAACAAAGTGGAACAATCGATTCATGACTTTCGCTTATTGGATAACCAAAAGAAAAGCGCCTAGATGACTTGCCTCATGGAAAACTCCAAGTTTAAACATGCAGTGTCAACAGTCGTACAACTGATTTAAGGTAGAGAGGTTCTGCACTTGAACGATCGGGTAGAGAGGCTGACTACGTTACGTGAGTACTCACAAAAGTACACAAGGGTTCTTTTTACCTGCTACGGCTGATGAGACTCTCAGTCTGTCTTCGAGACT